TTCCTCGGGCTCCTTTGGCTGCCTGCAGGCAGCCATGGGAATTGTTCAGTCATGGAAACTTCTGGCCTGTGCATCTTGTAGACCAAAAAAAGCTCTGGCTAGGAAATGTTTGAGCCTGATGTGTGTGATGCTGGTCTGCAAGCTGGGGTCCCCAGGAGACACGTGCTGGTGTGTGCTGGGGCTTGGTCTGTTGGTGCTCCCTGACCTCCTGAGCCTGTGAACGAGGCAGAGGTGGGATGCAGCAAGTCCCGGCTTGCTGCTGTATGTCCATTGGAAGTGGTGAGGCTGCTGGCGTGGGCCAGCAGTGCCTGAGAGCGGACGAAGGGCCTCCTCCTCCTCCCCGCTGGCAGAACCTCCTGGCACCACTCCGTGTGCTGTGCTCCTGGAGTGCCGTCCCCGCTCGGTGCCTGGTCAACAGCGTAGAAATCCCTCATCTGTTTCTTGGATGCTTGCAAATGATTTGGGAGAGCTTTCTGGGATGTGACAGGTGGGCACTTTGTTCTGCGGGCGGTTTCCGCTGCTCTCTGGCCATGCCACAGCATGGCCTCCAGGCACGGGTGAATGCTCCAGCAGCCGTGCGTCTGGCAGAGGAGCTCCCTTGTGCATGGGCTGAGCTCCTGGGGGGCTCTGTGGGGCTGACGTGCTGTGTAGTCTGTCCTGCAGCAAAAATCCATGCCCAGAGCCTCTGAGGTCTTCTCTGGAGAGCTGCTCCATGCCCAGAGCCCTGGGGCTACTCAGGGAAGGGTGCCAGGCTTGGCCCTTGGGTGCTGTCGACTGTCCCTGCTCTGGCAGGAGCCCGGCTGCTTTGGTACGGGGCCACACAGCGTGGCTCAGGCTCCGCTGCTTCGGAGGAGCTCCCTGTGCCTCTGAAAAACCCCGGTGCTTTTCTGGCTGCCTCGCCTGGGGTTGGCTGATAGCCCAGGGATCTCTTAGGCCAGCTCCTGCCAGGCTCGCTCACACCTTCACCGCTCTGGGATCCCAAAATGCTCCCTCCTTCGCCCGCCTGGCCCAGATCCCAGCGGAGCCGTAACCCCGTGTCCTTCGTGGCGCCGAGCCGTGCCAGCGCCGCGTGCCGGTCCTTGCCCTTTCCAGCCAGACCGAAGGAGAGCAGACGCGTGGGCAGCTCCCACTGTTCTCTGGGGGCGGGCAGCGCTCCGACCGCTCTTTGCTTTCGCATCCCTCTGCCCAGGCACGCTCCTGGGCTGTGGAAGGGCACGGTGGGATCCCGGGGGCTGGGTATCCCCAGTGTAGGGGCGATGGCGGGACCCCTGGGGAGCCAAGGGGATGAGATGCTCAGCCG